AAGTAGTTTTGTTGCCTATTCAATGCCATCTATAGCCTGTATCACCGGTGCCACATATGTATGTAATATGACGTCCTTCAGGTGAAAGAACTTTTATAATATAACTAGGATTCGATAGCGGCTTCGCCCGCGTGGTCCCTACTGAAACTTTTAGTGGGATAAAAAGTCCCTATACCCTGTATTCTAAATTTCATCAAAAACCGTTCAGTTTCGGCGTGATTGACGGACAAACATCCAAACAAAGAAGCTTTCACATTTATAATATTAATGGGATTATAATAAGGATGGATAAAATATATATATGGTAAAAATTATGTTCCATAACATTGTGCCGAATTTAGATTTATATATTAAAGACAAGCATTCACAAACAAGTCTCCATCATTAGTTTAAAACGGTAGCAAAAATTGACTATGAGTATAACTTGGAAGGCATCCAAAATTTCAAGTTTCAAGCTACGCTCGCTCAACTGAAATCAATTTAGTATTAGATCGATGTTTCAGTGGGGGATAATCAAGAGTACGTGATTTCGACATGCCGCAGTTTGTGTTAGTCTAGTAGGAAATTTTAATATATTTGTCGATGTCTTTACTACAGTACAATGCGAAGACAATACACACAGATTAATAAATTGTTACTATCATTATCAATAGTTAACCGTTATTTATGTATATTGGATTTAAAATATTGTTTACAAGACTGGTTAATTACAAATACATTTTCTATTATTTAAAAATGTTATCTATACTTATATTTTAATGGCGAAAAAACTTAAACGATTTTAAACATTATTTCACCTAAGGGAAGCTACTTTACACGCAAGTAACATAGATTAATAATTAACCTGAGCAAAGTCGTGGATAACAGCTTAGCTTTTCTTATTATGATAAAACACTTTAAAAAAATACTTCCACTGCATTTACGCGAACAATGTTACAATAAAAACTCCTTTGCTTTGATCAAAATTATATATTCCAATATAAGATTACCAAAAAGTTGAAATATATTTTTCAATTATGTTTTGTATACCAGATGGATGAATAAATATAAAGAAACCGGTAAACAAACAACACGTGTAATCCATATATCTTCACTTATTGGAACGCTCAGTATTCGCTCCTCTCGAAACAAAGCATAATTTGAGCTCACCTATATTGCCTGCAAACTTAAACAGATATCATTTTGGGAAGCAAATACTGGCCTTTATTGTTTCGATCTATCAAGTGGAAAAGGAAGAATACTGCACTCATGGATGTGGCATTCAATTGAAACTACGATACTATAGTATTTGAAATAAAATAGTATTTGTTTCCTTTTCTTAAAAGACTTGAAAAAGTCTTCCGCCGATGGGTATATATATTTTTTTTTATTTTTTACTTTATTGTATTTAACTACTGGGTAACAATTGTACATTAAATATGAGACAGTACCAATGTCAATTGTGAAAAGATAGATAAAATAACAAAATAATTAATAATGCAATTATTATTATAAGTAATTATTATCACCGAGAGAATATTCAAACACATAACAATTTTTATTACAATGTATGATCAAATGAAACAGTTGTTTCAAATATGTAATTACACTGTAGACTAATAAAAATATTTCGATATTACCATTCCTTCGTTAGGCTATCAACCTAGATTATTATCGAGCATCTTAGGGAGCGATTAATTAAAACAGAACCTGTTCAAATATGGTCTTCAAATAGAAATCGTCAGACTAAGTCAGTAAGATACTAATCTATATAGAAACTCAAATAAATGAGTAGTCTACTTTCAATGTATATATATTTGTAAAATATCAAACCTTTGAAATAAACTATTCATGTCAGCTAAATTAAAAAATTAAGTGCGTGTGTTTTTTATTGTTTGAACGTGAACCTGTTAAATATCAGACTACACATATTAATATAAAATACATTAACGTAATTTCTCCACCACCGTCGTTAATAAATTTTTAACAGACGTAACTCGCATCTGATTAAAATTCAGGCAACTTTACGAGACGTTAAATCAAATTACAGCGACATTTACATTCGAAATTGTACCGTGATCTTTTATGTTCGTGACATTATAATATTATTAAATCGGAATCTCAATTTTTCATTAACATAATGAACAAACGATGTGAAATTCACCAATTGTGTAATCATCATTAACCTGTTCACAGAATTTTATCTGTAAGTATATTTTATTATGTTCAACTACCTTTATATATTTTTTTGTTATTTTGTTTGATCAATTTTGAATTCACAATGCTATACTGAAAAATATTTATAATGGAAAATTCTTAAAAAATCCACTTACAACTTTTGGCGGAGGTCAAAGCGTCAAGGCAAGCAGGTAATTAATTAAATTATAGGCTTCAATAGCATTTTCTTACAGAAGTAATTTTTGAATAAGTATTTTTTATCATTTTTTTAAAGTTTGGAATCGGTTCTATTTTTTTTTTTAATTTTTTACTTCATGCTTTTTAGTAATATTTATATTTTTTTAAATAATAGGTAACATTCATCATCATCATCATCAACCCTTTATTTCGTCCCCACTGCAGGGGCTCAGGCCTTCCTTATGGATGGTTAAGGATCATGGGCCATGACCCTCCACGATGGCCCAATGCGGATTGGCGAGTATTAACGACTACAAATGCAGCCGGGACCAACGGCTTAATGTGTGTGCCGAAGCGCGGAGTAGCTCGAGATAATAATTTTTATGGTCACCCATCCCATGACTGACCCTTACGAAAGTTGCTTAAAGACAACGATTGCGTGCCGCGGCGCTTATCCACTACGCCACCGAGCTACTCCTATGTAGGTAACATAAAAAATAATAAATATCTATTATAAATAAAAAATTTCAACATAGTGAAAAAAGCAGATTTTGTTTTGTTATAAAGGGAATCGAATCAGTAGGATTCGATTTCGATAAAATTAAAAATGGGACCACCTCGGTCCATTAAGTTGTCGAATAAAAAATAATTTAAAAAAATCGGCCTGCAATTGGCGAATATATTAGTATAGTAATACTAATTAGTATAGTAATAATACTAATATATTAGTATAGTTATAATAGTATTAACATACATAAAAAAATAAACCGCCGTTGAACATTAAACCTCCTTTTGGGTTTTGGAGTCGATTAAAGAGAGTATGGCAATGCTGTCCATGATATCCTTTTGTCAACATATGATTTTAAGGTCCAATGATGTGATATCAAATTGCCTTCAATACAAACTTTCTGACAAGTACAAATGTTTGATGTGGGAGAATAAAATTGTTGCTTTTACTATTTTCGTTGCAATCTCTTTATGTTTTTTAACCTTTAAAATCTTTACCGGACTTCTAAAAATATTTCAATTCATATATTAGCCAAATGCGACCACGATTTCTTAAGGCCCTTTTGTACCTCCGCTTACGTTCCCATACAAATAAAAAATACACATCGTGAGTAAAGACGCGCTCGCTGTTTTCATACATTATTAATCACAGAAAAAAATGTATTTGTAAAACATCTTTTGATAATTTTAGATTATATCCAAACCTAATAATTTAAATATATAGTGGTAAATTCGATCTAAGAAACATATTTAAAGTCATCGTTGAGATTTTTTTTTCTATCTAGCCAATTAATTCAATTTCTTTTTCTGTTTTAGCAATCAATCGGACATATGTTATATTGCCCAAGATTAAAATTGGTTAAAAAGTGGCAATTTCAAATAATCTCGCCTTAACTTTTGTGCGACTATCTATCTAAAGTATACCTTTCAAACTTTAAGTCATAGGGTAACGTTTATATTTTACACCGAAACTAAAAATGCAAATCCAACAGACGGGCGATCTATTTTCTTGCGGAGTTCAGTTCTTCCTATTCATTGTTTTTATGAGATGGGTTGGGAAATTGAAAACTAATATCGGATAAAACTTTTCATTGTGCTCTATATGTAAACGGTTCAGTTCAGATAATGCACCATGAATACAAAAGCGTATACGCCACCTGCCGATAGTGAGATTGTGAAGGTTTCTGTTCGACAAAAGAGTATACATTTGAATAACTTAATAGCCTCTTATAAGCTCAATAAACTTTTATAAGCTACTTGACTTCTACTACTTCTTCCTTAACTGAGTGTTTTTAAATCCTTTTCTATAGAAAACCTACAAACGTCAATGATTACAAATATTACCTATTGATGTTATAATTTAGGCAATAAAAGTTTCACTCTATAGGTAATGGAATATCTCAGTTGATTGTATTGATAGCCAAGTACAAGTCTTACTTTGCTGTTTTGTAAAAAAAATAGCGTCGAACACAACGAGATCTCAGCAGTAGTTCAAAACAAACAAACACAAAATTAAATCTTTCCTCTTTTAAATATTAATATATATGATATGCAATCGTAAGCTCTGCGCAAAAGGTACATAACGGACTAACGCATAGTTTCGTGAGACGCTTGATCTATTTTCAGTCAGATTTGCGCAAATTCATTATACGCTATCTATAAATGATATTGTTACTATAAATGTTATTATATTTGATCAATAACATTATATTTGAGTAATAATATATCATACCATCTCAGAGTACCAGGGACAAAGTGGACATTTCAAGCATTTTTCATTATGACTATAAATGTTGTTTAAAGCAAAAATTTAAAAGCTTTTTCATCTAAAGATCGTTGAATAAATGTTGTAAGCCTTAAAAACATCTAAAAGGTTGATTACTTTACAGTTCATTTTAGCTTGTTAATTATTAAATTACAAAACCTGAAGGTGTAACTCTCCCTTTTAGGTAAAATTTTGATAAGATTGGTTTAAAGCAATTTTCATTACAAGTTTTCGTTTGAGTGTTGACACTTTATTGTTCTTAGAACTTGTTTTATTATAATTCTATTAATAAAATATTAATATTTAACTGGAAAATTGATTAATAAAAGATTCAGTCAGATTTGCAAAATCAATATGAAATGCAAAAAAAACTTTGATAGCATGCGCGATAAAATTAGCTTAATAAAGCTTTTGGTCATCTATCCAATTCTCTCTTAGCCATTTGCATGCTATAGAATAATAGCGATGTGCCGAGTCGTTGTTTTAGTGGATCGAGTCGATTCGAGTCGGTTTATACGGTATTCGAATCATGACTCGATTCCATGATTCGAATCAAGACTCGATTCCACGATTCGAGTCAGAACTCGAGTTCTATGTTTGGTATTCGAATGTTGACTCGAGTCCAGGACTCAAATCTAAAAATTGGAGTCCAGAATCTAGTCTGGAAATTCGAGTCCAGAACTCGAGTCTAGAAATTTTAGTGCAATACCTATATTATAACAAAAAAGTAAAATCAAAAAGGAGTAAATGGTTTAGCATAATGACACAACGGTTATAAATCGAACATTTATTATGAAAATATTTTTAAAGACTACTATTTTTAGGAACCAAAATGAGATCAAGTTCAATTTATTTTATTACACAATAAAAGGCGATATGTTTAGAAGCTTTTTATGTACGGTACCATAGTACCTAAATTATAAATATTAAAAGATATATGAAAGGTAGATTAGTTATCAGTCAAAACAAAAAAGAACTAAAAAATATGTTATTTGAAATAACTGTTCAAAAAAAGTATTTAGTCAACCTTCTTGGATTCTAGTCTATTACGGCGTTGGTTGCATAGAAGTCCAGCCTTAGAGAAAACTCGTTCCGAAGGCACAGAAGTGGCTGGAATGCATAAATACTTCATAGCTGTGACTTTGCGAAGTTCCCAAAATTCTAGTGGATTGACTTTTCTATCCAAATAAGGTAGCTCTACGTACTGTTTCACCTTGATCATTGCGGATATCGAGGGGTTTTCCATGCTAGAAAACTCCAATACCCTTTTATCTAGATGATCCCATAAATTTTCGCTAGCCACCTCATAAGTTAACTGCTGGGAATCTGAAGATGAAGTAGAAGGTGTTACAAGACGTGAAGTAGATGGCTGTGGAGATATGTTTGAGACTTGCAGTTGAGCTTGAGATTCCAATGTTTCTAACATCATCAATTCGTCAACAACAAATTTTTGAGCATTATCTGCATTTCTTTCGACGCCAAAACCGGCTTTCTTAAATCTTGGATCTATGAATGTTGCTTTGGCAGCAGTTTTGTTAATCTCATGACTGCCAAATCTTCTGTCGAAAATTTCCAGTAATTTTAAGTTCAACCTATTAGCGACATCAGAATTAGAACAGCAATTTTTTAGCGCTGCTTGGACGCCGCGTATAAGAGGTATAATGCAGGATAACGTTGGATATTGCTCGCCAGATATAATACTCGTCATTTGTTCCACAGGTTTTAAAATGCAAAGACACTCGTGCACCTCGACCCGTTCCTCAGCATTAAGATTATCCGGACAGCCGGGTAATGAAGTGATTGCAGCAGAAAGAGGTATCTTGATCTTATCGAGACGTTCGAGCATATAATACACTGAATTCCATCTCGTCTGGACATCTTGGTTTAGTTTTAAGGGTTCTAGCTGCATTTGTTCTTGAACCTGTTTTAATTTATATGCAGCGTTATTGCTTCGTTTGAAATAAGCTACTATTGCTCGGCACTATTCAATCAGTCGAGTTAATGGTTCATTGTCATTGTCCTTGATAGTATCCTATACCACCAAGTTCAAAGTATGAGCGGCACAGCTGTGGTGACGTTTTTGCAAAATATCAATAACAGCTTTTTTTATATTAGCGGCGTTGTCAGTTGTAACGCAAATTATTTTATCCAAAATATTCCATTCAGTTTCTAGTATATCTTTCATTTCTTGAGCTAAGTTTTCTGACGTATGGGCATCTTTTATTTCCTTAGTGGATAACGTTAAAGATTTAAATTTGTCTTCAATAATGAAGTGTATCGTCAGGGTCATGTAGCTTTTGTTGCTATCGGAGGACCACAAATCTGTTGTCAAAGCAATATAATCGGTTGCTTTAAGTATCTCTTGCGTAGCCTTTCTTGCGACTGAATATTGCTCCGGAATCAATTTTTCCGAAAGAATTTTTTAGCGAAGGTAGCTCGTAATTAGGGTTAATCATACGAGTGTACTCTTGAAAACCTTTATTTTCAACAACTTGAAGCGGTTGAAAATCAATGCATACCATTTTCATTAACGCTTTATCCACATTTTTAGAGTTCAACTTCAGAGCTTGCTTAGAGGGAAAGGTCATTTGCAATTGTCGCTTTCGTGATGGTGGTGTTTCGCCATCTGCATTAAGTGGCGTTTGACCTCCCGAATCAGAAGCTTCATTTAAATCAGATTGACTCTGTGCGGGGGTGGCTGAAGAATTATCAATGTGACTCGAGTAAATGATAGGATGAGCTTTTTTTAGATGCTTTAATAAATTAGTTGTATTTTTAAAGTCTTTAAATACTGAATCACAGTTTTTGCACTTTGTTTTATCACCGTCCACTTTCTCAAAACACTACCATACAGCTGAGGCTTTTTGCGGAGCCATTTCGTTATAAAGTTAACTAAAATAAAATCACTTTATTATTAATTCTAAATAACAATTAAATTAACTCACAGTAACAGCTTACTGACACAAAACGAAGAAATGAAAACAAAAAGTTACAGGTTCAAACTTGTACAATAGGGCGTCACTTCATTGCTTAAGTAAACTGAGATCGAGTACAAGCAAGTCAACCTAACTCGAGTACTAGACTCGAGTCAGTTGGACTCGCATAATAGAATCGAGTTAACGAGTACAAATCGATTCTTCCTGACTCGAGTATCGGAGTCGAGTCCGGCGTATTCGAATCAAAATTAACTGGTATTCGAGTACGCGAGTCCAAACCAGGAATCGAGTCTGACTCGAGTCAAACCGTACTCGGCACATCGCTATAGAATAAGACTTCCTCTGTCTACTCTCTGAGTATGATAGTGTTTACTATACCTATATCGAAATTGGTTTCACGGTGACTAACACCACAATAGAATAATTTATTATTGATAAGTGATTATCTTGTTATAAGGTATTCGATGGACGCTCAATGACGCGTTGATTAGTAAGTTCAGTCTGCGATGTGGTATTTAAGCAACTTTTGCAAAGGCCAGTCATAGAGTGAGTGGTCAAAAAATTATTATCTCTAGCTTCTAAGTGTATGTTTGTGCTGAGGCAGTGGATGGACACCTTTAGCCGATTGTTCCAGCTGCATCTACAGTCGTTAAAACCCACCAATCTAATTCTCGCGAGTATCTTAACGAGAAATCATGGCGACATGTTGATAATTCTTTTATAGTACTTACAAACATTTTTTCGAGCGTATCATTAAAGTGAGTAGCTCAGTGGCGTAGTTCATAAGCACCGCTGGCAGCGATCGGTGTTGTTAAGCAACTTTCGCAAGGATCGGCCATGGCATGGGTGACCAAATATTTATTACCTTGAGCTCCTCCGTGTTTCAGAAAGCACCGTTGCTACCGAGTGAGTCTGCAGTCGTCAATATCCACCAATCCGCGCTCGGCTCGCGTGATGGGTTATGGCCCGTTCTTCTTAATCGATTTGATTTGATTTCAATCAAATCGATTAAGAAGAACGGGCCATTAGGAACATTAATAAGCTGGTGATGATGATTAAAATGTATGTCATTAAAGAGAGTTCAATCAAGACGTCTCAATGACCTTTTACCAATGCACCCATGTTCATAATACAAATCCATGTTAGATTTAATTGAAACCCTACATTTATACTTCATTATACTTTTTTTCACTTGATTTGCATTACCGTCGGATGCAGTCCGATTCGCCATCCTCTGCTATTGCTTTTTTGCTTCTGTAATGGAACGCTCTACCAATAAATCCATTCGCTCTGCCTCAACATCACTTTTAGTTTGATATACTCGTAAATAAGTCGAGAGTAGTGATTAAAACGGCAGTTTCTTTTTCATTTATAAGTAACAGATATAATGACAAGTCTTAAAAGACTTTAAATACTTATAATACTCGGCTAAGGAGATTGCCATAAGATTTATTTGTTTGTTTAAGTTTTTTTCTCACACAACTATTTATCTTATATTTTAAGTTCTTATTGTATAATCATTTTTTTTCTTAATTAAGTCTGAATTAAGTCTGTTTTCATTAACTCGTACAAAACTTGATAACCAATGCTACCAACCTGATCAAGCCACGAATAGCAAAAAAATATTAGATAGTATTGTGTATTGCCGATGTATGTCAGCAGTCTTATTATGATCGGTGCATAATCGAGGGTTATTCTAATAAAAATAAATGCAGACACAGTAATAGCTCCCATCTATATATGTATAGGCCGTGGCCAGATCGTAGAATTTATCATTTCATGATGCGGCCGGACATTCCATGAAATGGCAGTTTTTCATGAAACGGCCACGTAAAACTGATCATATAGTTTAAACATCAACGTTTATTGATATGGCAATTCACGTTTGGCCATATCATTAAACGATGCCAAAAAGAGAAATCTAATAATTTGCTGAAATAGCTTTTTTGTATGTTAATTTTATGATTCAGTGGCCTGAAATAATAAATAACCTCGAAATTTAAGACGACTTAAATTTCTTACCTATAATGTAATTTTTTTTTTGATGATCGAGTGATGACTGAACCCCCTATCTACATTAGGCCTACCGTGCAAAACCCCCCATACCACCCTCGCATGTAGTCCGGTACACGGTATCGGCAGAGCCATAACTCGCATAGAACCGGACCGTGGGGGACACCCGGTGGTGTCCCTCCCTCTCTGCGGGCGGGAGGTTTCTGAAGCGGTTACAAGGAACCCTTCCTAGACAACCGGAGGTGGTGCAATGACCGTTGGGGTAGTCATCCCCCACAGTCGCCTTCGAAGAAGGACCGGATGCGCTATTGGGCAATCTAGATCCCCTGTATCGTCTGACTAAGTTCTGACAAATCCCTCCTCGGCCTCCCCCTGGCTTCCTCCTCGGGCAGGCCCGGCACCCCTCTGGCACCCTTTGAGCGAAGAGTCAGCACATTCCCGCTGCCATGGTGTCGACCGCTGGTCGACGTGGCTCTTCCCTCCAACGACTAAATGCGCTGAAGTGGTGAGTGCCTCGCCGCCGAGCCACAGCCGACTCTCTACAGCAGTCAATCATAGGAAATTTAATCCAATTCATATCTCAAAAAAATTAATATCCTCCAATATCATTTAATCATCCTCCGGATCTAAATCAAAATACTGTCTTTATTATAATTCTGAGACATATCCATATAATCACAGAATAGCCCTCACCGCCGCACCTCTGCGCATACACGCTTACAATTATTTCACTAAACTTGAATCATTGCGAATGTATTAATATTATATTCCTAGTAAGATAGTAATAAATCGCTTTCGTTTAGCCTTGTTACGCTTTACAATTATATCTCTAGGGATATACCTATATTAATGCTTTATATATCATACTGCGACATTTAGAAATCCAATAGTAGTAGTCCATGGATTTCCGATGTTTATTCACTCTATTTTATTTTATTTATAGTATAAATGAAAATACACCAATATATGCGACTTCAGCGGTAACGGGGATTAATGTTACAATTTTACGACATGATCACTAATACTTGACCAGATCTTGAAGTAGTCATACGATCAGATCACATCATGATGTGGGCAGAAAATTTATTCCATTTCATGAAAAACAACCTTTTATGAAATAGCCGGCTACATCATGAAATGATCAATTCTACGGTCTGGCCACGGCATATACACAAATGAATATACATACATAGGCATATACATATGACATGACAGCGTGTGAAACGCTTGAGGAATGATATTTTTAATATTGTGGTTGAAAGTGGCTTAGTCTAATACACGTTCTTATTCGAGATCTCTGTTTAAAAAAGAGTGAAAAACTGCCTTTGCTGAGTTCCTTGCCAGTTCCTCTCAGTACGAGGTCTCCCGCCGTAGATTTACGAACTGATGACATAGCGTCTCGACTTTCAAAATGGCTTGTAACAGCCTAGACTGACAAATGATTTTGTTTGATTAGATTTATTTAATTAAGTCAGAAAGACAATTATGTGTTGCTTATGTTTATCAAAACCCCTTTTTATCTTTATCTTTATATTTTTATACTTTATATTTATCTATTACTGCTCTTTAACTATAGTATTGCAGCTACAATATATATTTTGTACTTCACCGTATAAAATACAGCTTTACCAAGCATAATACGAAATTCTATTCGAGTGTCAATAAATTTTATTGTCAACAAACCTTATATTCGAGTGTTACGTTTGCAAGTTGAGTTGTAAAACCAGTTTCATAAAGTTACCATATCACATAACGCCATAAAACTGAAAGCGTTATAAAAATAAAAAGGACGGTCAAGCGCGTTGATTGTCGTATACTTTGATGGTTCCTTATTTTAAAAGTTACGTTACAAACCACGCTAGTCATCTGCGGATTGGCGGGTGATAACGACTGCAGATGCAGCCAGGCCCAACGGTTTAAGTTGCTTTCCGAAGCACGGAGGAGCTCGAGATAATAAATT